AAAAGTAATTCGATATGTGCGCTACATAATACAGATTCAAATACTTCACTAAAAACGCAATGACTGATACACTCTATCTTCTTAACTACCTTTTTGATGCTTCACTCTTTTACTGCAAGCTTACTTGGCCAATTGACTGGACACATCTAAATTACAACATTTAAAATATAAATTATAGCATTACAATATATTACATTACAATAAACAACAGAGCAAATGGTCTCTGTGTATCTTAGAGTGAAAAGTGTAGGATAAGTAAGAGCTACCATGAAGGCTTGAATAAGGCTTGCTAGCAGGGGCGGATTGGTATTAAACTTAAATGTGCCATGGGGGGGGGGGCTCGGATGAGAGGCAAATTGCATTCCTCAAAACTCAGAGTGAGTTCTGCCTTCAGACACCGCTAACACTGTATATACCATACATATTCTCTCTGCAGCTAACTAGTTTAAGATAGTTACCAAATACCGAAATATCACCGTTCCATGTGACAGTTGCAAAAGTGTCTCCCATACATAACGTCAAGGGCACAATGTAATTATCCATAAAAACAGTATAGATACGTTCCTTGGCAGGTCAAACTAAAAAAAAATGAATATTTTAGGATAAAATTTTGAGTATGATTTTAACATGATTTAGAATGCTCCAAGATTGTAGCTCAGAAAGCTAAAAATTTTGTAAACAAAATGTATATATATATGTACTATGTGAAAATAAAATATGTAGTTTCGAAATTTGGTAAAAATATTAGTTTCTTTATTTTTGAATAATTCTAAATATTTCTTTAATTGTGAAAACCTACTTTAATAATTTAGACTGTGGTATTTGGGTACATTGATTTTCAGCAAATATTTATCAATATCTTCAATAAGTAGCAGATTTAGGGTATATTTTGAAGGACTACATATAGCATAGACAGAAGAGGAAACGATTCTAGCATGTATGCAACATCAAGAATAATTAAAGTCTGTTTGCACTGACAAAAAAAAAGACGCTTGAGCCTTACTATACTGCTCAGCCTTTCAGTTTGTAGACTGACTATTCTGGCTAGCAGTGTTGGATATGAAGAAACAACTGAACTTAGCAAAAAATGGAATAATTATGTTCATGCCACTTTGTTAAGTTAGATAATAGTCCTGGTACGATACCTCAGAATTCTAGGTTACTTACATCATCAGCCCTTTCTGCTATTCATATTCACGGGTGGATTAACTCACAGTTAGTACAAACTTTTACACCATTCCTTCACTTGGGTATGATTCAAACTCTAAGGGGAGTGGTGGTACAGAAGCATGGCCAAACAACTATAAGCTTTATGGAGTGGTCACTGTTGTAGTTTGTAACTTTAGTTCAAGGTAAGTTCACATCTATCCACATCCTGTTCACAAGAATGTTAGCTAAATGGAGAATACCTGCACGAAAATTTAGAAAACTATACCTGAATATGGCTGAATAAAGATATTTTATCGTTTAAGTTATGAAATGTTAAATTATAGCAGTTTTATAACCAAGAGGAATCTATCTCATCAGAGACTAACAGTATCCTTGATATTATTCTGACTATTAAATTGTGCTCTTGTGGAATTGTGTTTATTTTATCCTCATTCCTTTCAAATTTCAACTTATTAAATATACCTAAAACACGTAAGATGAAAAAGTTAGTAAATCAGATGAAACAATATAATTTTATCGATTATTAAAACTGTGATCCGTTTTGAAATACATAACAAAAACTAAATGTAAACAAAATCTTATGTTGAGATTCTGGACGATAAATTAATTTTTCTGTTTATAAATTTATGATTTTGAAAGCTCTGGGACGACACCAGTTCTTAATCCCGTGGGCTGCAGGGTCCTTTCAAGTGGTTCGTGTAAAGGTTAAACGACACCATTTCTTAATCCCGAGAGCTGCAAACTCCCTTCAAGTGGTTCGTGTAAAGGTTACATGATTATAGAAAAAAAGCAGCATAGTGTACAAGTCCCATTGTTGTCCAAAGAGGTTAAACAATTCTGGTTTGGGTGGCTCACTAACAAAAACTTTGAGAACCACTGCTTCAGGATCTCAAGATATTCGTTATCTGCATGATTTACGATATACTACAAAATAAGAAAATCAAAACTAGAATGTTCTGTTTTTTCAATATACAGTACAAAATGTTACTTATATGATGTATTTTACCGTATTTAAATTAATATTGACGTGTTATCAGAGAAAGCTATGTACTTAGAGTGAAACTAAAAATCAAGCTGGCAGTTAGTATAACTATTTACATATACTCCTCTTAACATTTCTACGTATAAAGATTAGAATGCATTGTTTCGTCAGCTGAGTCCCCTCACTGTTAATGATGTTTTCTGTAAAAGCCGAACAGGAACCATGATAAATTAAGTCTCTAGAAAGTAGAAAGCTCAATAAAAATAATAAAGCTTAGAACGGAAAGTTAAAACACTCATTAAAATGGCAGAGAAAGTAATCATCAAAAAGTAATGTAGCTAAACTAGTAATGTCATACTATATATTGTTGCGTCATCGATGTCACGTGACTGGTGTGGCGCCACCTATTTTCTAGAACTATCCTGTACCTTGGCGAATGCTCTAGTATTTACTAGATATAGGGTAGTCTGATATATAAAAGAGGGTGACAACATGACGGGACAATAATGTGTGTGTAGATAGTGAGTAATTGAACTGCAGTCACAGGGTATTGTTGAAGTTAACGTTCGTTCGTTATAGTGTTTGTTTTAGCGCGAATATATAAATTAAGTGTATCATAAAATTATATTCGAAAAGAATAAACCAG